GCAAACGTGATCTTAATATAAAATAGATCACTATGCTCCCTGCTTTAAAATCTGCAGTGGCTTCCCAAAGCACTTAAAATAAAATTTAATCTCTGCCAAGGCTTACAAGGAGCAGTGACATCTGGTACTGTACCTCCTTCTTAAACCTCACCTGACACCACTCTCATCATCTGTACCTCTAACTCCAGCAAGCTATCACAGATAGTCTCTCAGTTCCTCAAATACTCTTTTCCTACCTCGGGCCTTTGCACCTGCTAGTCCCTGCTTGAACTGTTCCTTCGATTCTTCAAATGGCTAGATCTTTCTCATCTTTTAGGTCTCAGCTCAAATATCATCACCTCAAGAAAGGCCTTCCCCAACCTATAAAGCAGCACTTCTCAAACAGAAAAAAATTATTCCCTATCTAAACCTCTTGTATTTCTTTTTGGTAACACTTTGGGAATATTTTATGTATTTGCCAATTTATTTTCTATCTGTCTCCACCACTGGAATAAAAGCTGTATAAGCACAAGGAACACATCTGTCATGTTTTTTGCTGTGTCACCAGCATCTGGCATCGTGTTGGCCATGTAGCTAGCACCAAATCTGTGCCAGTTTCTGTTCGAAGCACTGAAAATACAGCAGTGAATAAAACAGACCAAAATCCCTCACCTCATGGACATAACACTCTGCTAGTTATTTAGGTGATAAAGTAAGTAAGTTATTTAATATATTCAAACATCCCAAGTGCTACAGAGAAAAATAAAGCAGAGAAAAACAGGCAGAACTAGAGAGTTGCAATAAATGTGAAGTCAGGTAGCCCTCATTTGAAAAAGTCTTATTTGAGCCAAGATCCTAAGAAGTGGAGGCAGAAAGCGTTCCCGAGAAAAGAAATAGTAAGTGCTAACACTGAGTGTAGAGTGTGCCTAACATGTTCAGAGACTAGAAAGAATGTCAGTATGACTGAAACAGAAAACACTAGAGGGAAAGCAGTAGGAGATAGAAGTCAAAGAAGTAATGGAACTGGAACAAGGCCTGAGGGACACCAAAAGGACTCTGGTTGTACTATAAATGAGATGGGAAGCTACTGGAGCACTTGGGGTAGAGAAATAACATAAGCTGAATGATTTTTTAGAGATCACTTTGGCTGCAATGTTAAGAACAGAGTATCTGGGAAGGAGGTAAGAGTGAAAGCCAGAAGACCAGTTTGGAGGTAAGTATACTACAATGGTGGAGACTTTGGTGGAGACAATGAGGCATGGTTAGATGGTGGATATGCTGTGACGACCTAGCCAAAAGATATGCTGACAGACTAAATCTGGTCTGTGAAGAGAGTATGTTAAGGATTAACTCTTAAAGTCCTAACATCAGCAACCGGAAGAAATTAATTGCTATTTATTAATATAGAAAGACTATGTGGAAACACGAAGTATAAAAAGTATATCAAGAGTTCAGTTTTAGGGCGCCTGAGTGGCTCAGTGGGTTAAGCCGCTGCCTTCGGCTCAGGTCATGATCTCAGGGTCCTGGGATCGAGTCCCGCATCGGGCTCTCTGCTCAGCAGGGGGCCTGCTTCCTTCTCTCTCTCTCTCTGCCTGCTTCTCTGTCTACTTGTGATCTCTGTCAAATAAATAAATAAAATCTTTAAAAAAAAAAAAAAGAGTTCAGTTTTAGCCATGTAGAATTTGAGAGATCTAGTTGATATTCAAGTGGAAATGTGGATGTGTAGCTGAACAGAGAATACACAGACCTTGGGGTAAAATAAAATTTTTGGAGTCACTGGTGTGTATATATTTATGTATTCAGAACTAAATAAAATCACCAAGGAATAAGTACACACACAGAGAAGTCCAAGGACTAAGCCTCAAGATACTACAACATTCAGAGTAAAAAGAGAAGAAAAAAACCAACTAGTAAGAATGAAAGGAATGACCAGTGAGTAAGTTAGGAGAGTGGTATCCTGAAAGCATAGTAAAGAGTTTCCCAGATCAGAGATTGATCAACTCTGTCAAGCAAGATCAGGAGTGAGAACTGACCACTGGATTTAATGTCAAGACCACTGGTGACACTGACTAGCCCCATAGAAGGCCTGACTAGCACAGATTTAAGAGGAAATGGGAAGAAAGGAAGTGGAGATGAATACGGACAACTCTTTTAAGGAGTTTTAGTATAAAAAACCAAGAGAAGAACTGAAGTAGCGTTATTTTCTTGTTTTGTTTGTTTTTTAAAACTGGGAGAAATTACCCTGAAAAACTGATGATGAAGGAGAAAAAACAGAGAAGCAGTAGCAATGTCCTTCGCAGGATGAGAAGGCGTGAGATCTACTGAACAAGTGGAAGAGGTGAACTTAGAAAATAATAAAATAATTGATCTATAGTTACTATAGAGGAGGATAATAGGAAAATGTGAGCATGAAAAGCTGTCGAATGAAATGCCTCATTAAGTCTATGATAGGTGGTCCACAGCCAACAGCCTGTGGGCCAAATGTAGCCTGCTGCCTTTTTTTGTAAATTAAGTTTCATTGGAACATAGCCACATTCATTCATTTACATATCGCCTATGGCTGCTATCATGTTACAATAGCAGCTGATAGGCCCAAAGAAACCAACCTGCCCACAAAACCTAAAATATATACTATTTGGCCATTTACAGCAGAAGTTTACCAAACCTGGTAAATAGGAATGTTCCAAATGTTAATTCTTTTGAGTTGAGGATAAGCTAACTGGTTATTGAATAAAGAAGGTTAAGTAGACAACAGCATTTAATGGAAGAATTAACCTACATATCATTCCTAGTATCTGGAGCTCAAAACAAGTATTATTATGAGTAATCAAACATTAATTTCATTCTTTATCTCTCTCAGAATGTTTTTATATCTACTGCAACATTAGTTTTGAACTGGCTGTATCTCTACAGGAAGGATATGGTTTTGACAGTTACTATGAGATCGCTCAAAAAAAGGGGGAAAATAAGAAGAAAAAAACTAATTATATATATATTATATGTATATAACATATAAAACAGAACAGCATTGTAGGTCAAAGACTGTTTTTTTTTTTTAAATTTCAAGGCAGAGGAATATAACAAGATCTTTTCCACAAGTAAATTTCCATCACTCAATTACACTTATTTTATATCTTAGCATCACAAAAGTAGCATCACACTTAAAAGAAATATAAACATTTTATTCAAAGAAATCCCCACCTTATCAGAAAATAAAATGTGTTTGGCTTTCTAAATGCCTCACACATGAATTTACTTATAATACTCAACCTTGTATCTCACTACCTCTCACTCCCCCAAAATACAAATTGTTACAGTCAAACCAACCTCCGCCCCCATCTTGATCAGCCCTCAGTCATTTTCAACTCCATCCTTTCCCCAATTATTATGTGCCTAACAAAACTTGAATCATAAGTTAAAACCCATTTGCTGTGATACCTCCTTCAAGAAACCTGCCAGTCCCTCACTAATTTCTTTTCTATCAGAACTCAGACTTAAAATCCATACCATACAATCATGCATTCATTTATCTGCTGTTTGTATTATTTCATATATGTTAATCTGGGTTCCTTAACTAAACTATAAGCACTCAGAAGGCAAAGAATTCCTTTTATTCTTTCATATTACTAAAATGCTGGCACAGCACTGATTATTCTGAACACATACTTATTGATCAGTGTAACCTAAAACTATAAAAACGTGCTATATTAAAGGAAGTCCACCATCCACTTAGCTAGCAGGTAAAATGCTTGACTATCCAGACAGTTGCACACACTTGTACATCGTAGACACTCAACAAATGTTTGTAGGTTGAATGAAGGACTGAATATATACATGAATGATGAGTGATGGGCATCTTTCATAAGGTGGAAGAAAAGGGGAAATTGTGGATGGATGTGATCAATGTGAAGCTACAGATCCTAAATTGGTAAGGGCCAAATATCCATTTGAACATTTTCTGCTGCAATCCAATTCAAACTATTTTATATACAAAATTTTGGCACATAGGACTGGGAAGGACACCATGGTAACTGACAGGATCAAAAGAAAACCATAGATACTCTTAACCATGGTCCCTAGAACTGAAACTGGCATGCTATCGCCACCCGTCTCCCATTTCCATATGGCTTCACTTTTTCCTACTACAGATGGGGTCCTCATACATGTGGAAAAGAATGTCACTAACACCCTACCCCATTGGTAACTTTAGAGAAAAGGGAGGATCTTTCTCCTAGGATTCATACATCAATTTCAAAGAAGGATTCTTGATTATCAATATTCTACTTGATTAACAGGCCATCACTATTTCAATAGGGATGACTAGGCTTGGGTTATAAGACTATATGATTGGCCTACTAACCACGCATAATAGGGGAGAGATGGCTCCCCAAACGAAGAGATACTGAGTTGATAAAATTAATATACAGCTGACACTTGAACAAGACAGCTTTGAACCACGCAGGTCCACTTGCACACAGATTTTTTGATACAGTATAGTACTATAAATATATTTTTCTCTTCCTTATGATTTTAATAACATTTGCTCTTCTCTAGACTACTTTACCATCATTTGTTATTAAGAATACAGTATCTAATATATATAACAACATATGTTAATCAAATATTCATGCTATCAGTAAGTCTTCTAGTCAACAGAGGGCTTAATTAAGTTTTAAAGGAGTCAAAAGAATACATGCAGATTTTCAACTGTGTAGGGGGTCAGTTTCCCTAATCCCTGTGTTGTTCAAGGTCAACAAATACATATTTCTTTTTCTACCAGCTATAACCTTTTAACAACTCTATTTTAATCAGGAATCAGTGATGATTTTACCACACTGTGAAATTATTTGACTTTCCGTGAAACCAATATTTTTTATCTATCACATTTCTTGAAATGAGACCCATGTGAAACCTACTTAATTATCCTAAGTGTCAAGTCATGCAACTTCATTCTGATATTCTGATATGTTTCATGCAGTCAAACCAATAGTGATTTTAAAATTTAGTCAGACTTTGCTCACAATTTTTAAGATGGAATAATCGAAATCATTTTGGTCAGTCATCATAGAGCAGCCTCTTGTTTACTTCATTACTTGAAGTTTTCATTCTTCATCATATTACTTTTTCTGAGAATTTTGGATCAAACACAGTAAAGAAAATCCTTAGCACTCAGCATTTACTTTATTCAGGAACAACACAGTACCCATGTGAACCTAACTCAGTAAGAGGGCAAACAAATGTTATGTAGGAAGCAATTAACATATATAAATGAACACAGGTAAGTACCCAGTATCTAAACTTTGCCACTCTTACTCACTGTACTTAGTTGTTAGACATTAACTTCTAATAAAATAAAACATTCCTGCCTTTGTGAAAAACAAAGCCATCTACTAGAAAAACTCATGGCAAAACATGGTTATGATTACTGAAGTAATAATTTAAGTTGGTTTAGTCTACTTCAGCTATTTCAGTAGTTATATAAATAATCTTATTTCTAATTTAAGGTTATATTTATGGGTACACTTACTGTATTTGGTGAGAGGAATTATATGATACTGTGGTATCCCAGTACCTATCCAAAACAAACAGTAAGAGACACTTGTGTTTCAAGGGTAGATAAACCATGTTTTTGTACAAGGGTACAATATTTTCCACTGAGTATGCAAAGCTTTCCTTATAATACCATGGATTTGATGGCAGATTTTTTTTCCTTCTTTTTGTTCACACCAGGATATTCAAAAGATTGTCTTCAGGAAACTAGTCATAACTCCACAGTGATTCTCAAGTACCTTTTCTGACTCATAATGTAGATGCCATTAATCATAATATAAATATATTTCAGCTTTTCTTTAGGTGCATTACTTTGCACTTATTGGAGCAAAACACAAACACTCTTCTGGTCATTTATACCACTTCAAAACATCTTCCTACCATGTGTAACTCCATCGTTCATTACCCAGAAGACTTTAATGCTGTCTTAATATTTAGAAGAATATAGTTAAAATTATCATTACATCAATAATGGAGTATTAAATAATATACTACAAAACCAAAAAGACCTTTTTTGCTTACATTAAAAGAAAACCTGTAAGTATTTTATGTAGGCCAAAAATAAAACTATAAGAAACTTATGTATACATAAGTATTTTACTTTATTTTGTCCAATATCAAAACATATTAACTTACTGCTTAATAGACTACATGCTGTAATACTTCAATCTTTACCATACCTCCTTCTTCAAGGAACAAAAGGCACGCAATTTAATGCTTGGACAAAGCCACAATCAGGAACAGTGATCAAAAGAGACGATATCTGGAAATGAAGACCAAGATTTTAAAACTGACTGCAAAACCTGTTAGTAAAATGTTTTTATACTCTTGATTCAATTATGCTTCATATTATGTGTTTAAATTTAAGAGGAAAAAGAAAACCTCCACTTCTGGCTCATAACCCATCATTGCTACTCCATGATAACACGTCATAAATTTATAAAAATCACAAAACTCAAAGTTTAGAAGGGAAGTTAGGCTCAATCTAGTTCACTTTCTTTGTTTATTTCAAGATCAGGAAAATGAATCTTGCCAAAAATCACAAACCTAGAACAATCTAGATCTGATTCCAAGCCAGATATTCTACTACCACTACCACCATACTACCTCTTTATATTCACTCATGCTTTCTAACATCCCATGAAAATTGCTTACCACGTAAAGCCAACACCCCCATACAGAACTAAAACATTCATAGTACACACCTGGAATCAGATAATAAAAATTCCAACTTCACCACAATTCTTTCCTTCTCCTTATAGTGCTTTATCACAAAACTTTTGGTAGAGTCCCTAAAGGAAACTGAGCAAGACTCAAAACTTTCATCATCCCCTCCCCCCCCAAAAAAAGTTGTATTAAGTGATCTAAAGCAGACAATGCTTCCATCAGAACAATTCCAAACAGAAAAGTAAACAATAAAAGTACATTAAAGGACATGTTTAAAGTACATTCTGAAGTCAAATTGTATATTTATGCTAAAATATATCTTCTGGAATGCTTCAAGATACAAAAACTTGGGACCACATATACTGTTAAGAAAGAAGAGAATAGGATTTAAAGTGTGATAATAATTTCTTAAAAAAAAACCTCAACCATTTAAAAGCTCATACATTATTGATGCACAGATAGGTATTCATTGTGGTTGTATACTTCTTTACCCTTCCATAAAAACAGATATAACATTTTGAACTGACATTCATTCTTACTTTCACTGCAACAATAAGGAATAATCTGGATGTGCAAAACAGGTCAGATACCTGCATTTTTTCCCTCCCTCCCCTTTTGTTAACAATTTTCTACACTCGGGGCTCATCTTATTAATAAGAATTTTAACAAAAATGAACGTGGTCTACTATGCTTACCATCCTCATGAAATGCTAATGGCCTGAAAAATGTTAACCCAATGCAATGTCTTCCTTTTTAAGTATCAGAAATATACAGTTTTGCTAAAAGATAATAAATTCATTTCTATGGATCTGCAGCTAAAACTTTGAAAAATGTCAGGTTATTTCACTCCCTCAACTTAAATGGTTTCTATCTGTTCAACCTGAGAATACTAACTTTAAGGTACACTCATATCAGATCCCTGGCTGCATAAAAAAACAAAAAAACAGTAAACTAAGCCTAACACACAGTCATTCAAGTTAATGAAATTCCTATCCCGATGTACAGTTTAGTGTCTTTTTCACCACTGCTATCACCAAAGTTCAGCATTCTTACGAATTCCTTAAATATTGACTTATTTTATTTTTCCGGTGTTTTTTAGACTTTTGATATCCAAACACACCCAACGAATGTTTTGGCTAAAATAGCTCACAAATACTAAACGCCCCCCCCCCCGAATTAAGCAAAACTGAACCTAAACTTTTGTATTCTATACCTTAAAGCTACCCTGTTTTGTTGGTCTACTTAAAAGAGTTACATTTTACCTTATATACATTCACCCTATATATTTTCCATTACCATATCCATCTAGAAAGAGACTGTCTACTTGACAATGAGGACACCATGTTAAGAACAGACTCAAAATGGACCCTACAAGTGAGAAAGCCAGTTACAAAGAAATCCATCGGCCACTGGGTGTGGTTGGGGTCTGCAAGAAGGGCGCCTTTGGCCAACTCTGTGGAGGAGGGAGCGCGCGCCAGAGAGCTGAGCGTAGATGCAAGAAAAGACCTCCAATGACCAGAGACTGGACCCACAATGGGGACGCCGTCGAGTCGGACTGCCGTGGGCCTGCGAATCTACGGCTCGAGGGGTGCGGTCGCAGCAATACCCATGCTGTCTCCACCAGCCCCGGAATGCGCCGAGTGGGTGCTTCGAGCGCCGCGCGCCCCGCTCCGTCCCAACACCGCGCCCGATCCGCCCCTTCCTCCGGGGTTCGGCTCCCCTCGGGCGCGCGGAGGCACACGGTCGCCGCGCTCCCGCTCCAGCTCCTAGGCTGTGGGAGAAGCAAAGTTCAAAAAGCCCGAGCGTAGTGCAAACCCAGCTAAGAAGAGGAAGGTTAGCTCTAGCCTGCAGGAGCGCTGAGTAAAAGAGGCGACTTCTCTAGAAAAACTTTGCGGCAAGTTAGGCGGAAGCGCTGAATAGCCGGGACTATTTAGCAGGCGCTTCCTATCACAAGAGGCGGAACCCTGAACCGGTTCAGGGGACCCTGACACCCCCACAAACTCGCATTTTGCCCCCTGGCTGGCCATCTAGAAGTCCCGGCATCCTAACAAGTCTGGACGGCCCCGCTCATAGGGAATACCTGTCGTGGTCCCCATTGCCTGCGAGTCCCTGATGGCGGCCATTACGCTTCCATCCGGGTATTGCCGAAAAGCCGATCGCGGCGCTACCGGGAGCGCACGCTGCGGCGGAGGGATCCGCCGGGCTGTACCTGAAGCGAGCGGAAGAGGACGGAGGCCGGCAGGGTCCGAGCCACAGCCTGCGAGACTAGGCCATTGAGCTGGACTCGCAGCTGACCTCTCAAAGTAGCGCGCTTCCCCGATGCCGGCCACGCCAATGTCTCACTCTCCCCCTGTGCTCTCCAATAGCTGGAGAGATTCTACTGCCAACCTTATGGTAGACAAACCTCTACTCTGTGCTCTTCAGGGTAGACAAGAGAAGCAGGAACTGTGGTCTTGGCAAACCTTAACTTAATGGGAATGGTCTCAACCCTGAGATTTTAATCATTTCCGGTTTTGTAAATGGCGGCTCCCCACCCCCTCCTCGTTGCTTTTGACTCCCAGGTTTTAGCAGCAATTGCAACCCACATCAATGAAGGAAGGTGTCCCAAGTTCCTCAGGAAGACCTACTGAACTCCAAACGTGTACATATTTAAGAAGTGATCTGCAAACTGTCGTTAAAACAAGGGAAGCTTTTATCCCCATCAAAGGAATCCCGCAACATCAGAACTGGGCTGGACCAAGAGGTCAATTAGTACTAAGATTGGGTTTCTCCCAAAGACCAGTATGGCTCCCCTTCTCTCTTGTAGAGTGTTTCTGGAAGCCAACCTATTAATCTCACTTTTTATATGTTTAACATATTACATACTTTCATATGTATAAATATGGCAAAACTGTGTTAAAAAAATAAACTGGGGTGGAGGGACACATCAAATTATTAAAAATGGAACTACAATAGAATTGTCGTCAGTTTTTTTGTGTGTGTTTCTTGTTTTCTTAGGAAGTATATATGGTGTTTTGAAATGAAATAAAAATTTAATGTTTATCCTAAACGTTTTTTATTGTCCTAAGAATATGCTTTTGAAAATGTCAACCTGTAGCCAAACACAACATTTTCTGCATCCTTTAATAAAAAGCACACTGACAAATCCTCATTGTCCTTGGGGAGCTTTCTTAACACTATACTGGTCTACACGATGCTTCCTGGAAAAGGCAAATGCGCAGTAATCCACATTAGATGTACTCCTATATCTTGTACTCATATGCCTGTATAAAATACACAAGGAGAAATCTTCTGTAAATACCAAAAGAGAGGCTATTAGAAAATAAAATAAAATAACATGTTTACAAAATGGATTTTATTTTGCATTAAGCATCATCCCCCTCTCTGGTCTTCCTTTGCATGCAGGTCACACACACACGTGCATTTCAGAGTAAAGAGAGGATAAGAGCTTTTTTTGGTATTTTTTTAATAGCAAAAAAGAAGATGATAGTTGGGAATGTGAGCAGAATTGTTTGGTTTGTGTTTTGATGTAATGTTTATTTTTTGTTTTTCGGGTTAAGAAACTGCACCCCTCTCCTCCACAGTATTTGCATTATAACTTCACTTTTATTTATACATGTATGTTTATCTAAAAACATTACAAATCTGCATATATGATGTGGAAGAATTGGAGTGCGTGGGTTTTTTTCTTAAGTGAATAAGGTATTATTCAACCACAAACTTCTCTCTTCCCTCTTTTTCTTTCTCCACCTATATCACACAACCTCTATCCACTTTCTTGCCCTCTTTTTGGATTTTGAACATTAGATTAGCATAGAAAAAGGGAATGAAATGGAAAGGAAAGAAAGAAGATGTTAAAGAGAGAAAAAGAAAAAATACAAAGGAGAGAAAGTGGAATCACAGATTAAGAAGATATTTTATACTTGAGAAGGATAGTGGAGATAGGGCACCTAATTTAATCCTTTAAATAGTTGATTTTTGTGAACATGTGAATCTACTATTTACTAGCTGAGGACATTTAATCTCTGAGCTTCACAGAATTATGCAATGCATACCTAACAGTTGATAGATTATAGAGAGTAATCAACCCCTTTGTACCCACAGTGTAAATAAATGGTAGAAGTGATAATGGTGGTGATAGTCAAAAGTTTCCATCTTGATTACAAACCTCTTTCTCCTTTTCAAAATATAATTCATGGTCTTTGTATCATGAAGAAGATCACTTCAAGACAGGGAAATTTTCTCCTAAAAAGAATATGTAAGTGGGAATTACATTTCACTCTAAGGATTCACACCTCTGAATCATAGGTAACACCATATCATAATAAAGTTACAAGCCTATATATACATATATAATATTTGTAATATTTATTATATATTTACCTAAATATATATTTATAAAAACAGCATACTTTTAGTCATAGCTTGGTATATCATAAGCATTATATGGTATTCTATAGATGATAACAGTTACAATTGTAATTAAAGAATTAAATGATTTAATTTGAAGAGTGAGTTTCCCTGAAAAATGACTCTCTCTTTTTTGCTGATCTCTCAACTCAAGTCCCAACTTTCTACTTCCAATAATATAACCACGTATATTGGAATTGGAAAAATAAAGATACCAAGAGCCTGGTAATCTAGCTTAAAATGGATACCAAGAGCCTGGTAATCTAGCTTAAAATGGTCCCCCTTCTTGGTCAAGAATATTATAGGTTGGTTATTCTTTTCAAGCTATCGAACAAGTGTTAGTTGAACATGAGCTTCAAGAACTGGCCTTACCATTGGGGAGTGTATGTGAAATGGTGAGTGCTGTGAAGTGTGTAAGCCTGACAATTCACAGATCTGTACCCCTGGGGCAAATAATACATTACATGTTAATAAAAATAATTAATGATAAAAAAAGAACAGTTCTTACCAACATCCTCTGTATGGATGTTACTTCATATTCATTCAACAGACATGTTCTTGAACATCTATTATCTGCCAAAAATTGTGCTAGTAATAAATAAGATGTGATTCCTCAAGGAGTAACTAGTTTGATAGGAGATTCTTAATATCTAAAAGATTTCATGATTCAACAGAGCAATTCCAAAAATGGGTTTTCAGACACTGTAACCGGTGATGAGAAAAATCTTTTTAGGATGGGCACCCCTGCCAGTTTCCTCTCAACTCAGACTTCCTAGATGATTAAGACTTTAGATATGTTGCACTTTTTATTAAGTTGTTACTAAAGATGTAGTCACTTTCTCTTAGTTCTTTCAGTGGATACTATATTCAACTATGAAGAACATTAAACTATATAAACTATATTGGCCTTCCCTAAATAATTTAGGGTATCTCTCCCTTTCCCCAGTCACAAATTCTTTATAAGAATTCCTATATCCTGAGGGCAAGAGAACAGATGGCACAGATAATTGAAGTCCTTAGAAGAAAAAAAAGAGGGGGACGCCAGGGTGGCTCAATTGGTTAAGCATCTGCCATCGGTTCAGGTCACGATCCTGGGGTCCTGGGATAGAGCTCCGTGTAAGGCCCCCTGCTCAGCAGGGAGTCTGCGTCTCCTTCTCCCTCTGCCCCTCCCTCTAAGCCCCTCCCCCTCTCATGTTTGCTCTCTTTCTCAAATAAATCAATAAAATCTTTTTTAACAAGGAAGAAAAAGAGGAAATGTAATCCTTCTTAAGTATATTTCTTTTAAGAACATATCTGGTACACATATATGTTATATAATCGTTCTGTATACTCTTTCATATGTAGAGTACATTTCATTATTCGACATTTTAAAAGAATAAAAAGTATAAGGCTTGTGTGTGCACGCTCTGTGTGTGTGTGTGTGTGTGTTATTTGATACAGATTAAATACCACCTAAAATTAATTTGATTCTTTTGGAAATTTTTTTTGAAAGGTAACTAATTTCTGTGAGACCAGTGATGTTAATATCAATAAATTACACTTAAGAACTTGTAAGAGTAGATCATTTTGGCTCATTACTGTAAAGTTTCCAAGTTGCACCCACCTGCAAATTTTTCTAACTTCACCCTTCAAACAGAAACAAAAACCTAGATTTTATTGTTTTAAATAATCATATTCCTTAATGCTGCTATATATAATATCTCAGAGGTCCTGAAGTTACGTTAATGCTGATGTTCATAGTTTGTTAATGTTGTTTGTTGGGGAGTGGGAGGTAAGGGGATATACAGGTCCCTGCAGTATATCCTAGTATGCCTGCTGGAGTAAATGAGAAACAATTATGAAATAGGAAAGAACCAACAACTCATTTCATTTAGTTTCACATGCCTTCTTGCTGTTGACATTAGGATATTTCAAGGCAGTGAGGCAATCCTAGAGCACCAAGATAGACCAGAATTTAAGAGTATACTATAGCAATGGGAAGAGCATGGCTTGTTCAAGAGGAAAGTATTAAATTCAAGGAGGAAGGGAAAGCTCTATTCTAAAACTTTATAGATATATATAGAAAGGTTTCAATTGGAAGCTGAAAACATAGAGGACAACATGTGAATGAATATAAAGGTACACAAAAACACAGCTAGGATTGATGTGAGATTAGATCCAGAATGTCTCAGAGAGGCAGAGGAAACAGGTGATACTTCACAATATAAATTACTAAGAGTAGCTCAGAGTTCAATAAACATTTTTTAATGTCTTCTAAGTGCTGTAGCATACAAATACTTGCCTCTGTTGGCAGACAAGAGGTTTACCAATGTTGAACAAAAGGACCATACAACTCAGTTTGCAAAAAAAAAAAAAGCCCTGGTTTATACCTGTTTTCCCTAGCTCTTATTTTTTCAGTCAAAAGTATCTCAATTTGGATGATAATTGCATGATCACTGTACTGATAAAGGAAAACTTGTGGAAATCTTATCTGTTAAGAGTAAATAATCTCATCAACGTTTGACCTGCCTTGTTCTTGCTCAGAAAAACCAAAGAATTCTTTAATAGAAAGAAAGAAAGGCAGTAGCAGGAATTA